AATGGCCTTGTAACGTTTTTTGCCTCAACAGCAGTTGAAATTTGCTGCAAATCACAATCAATTTTTAAAAATACAGTGCGATGCGCTTAAACAAATTTAACAAAATAAAAGGAATTTTAAGAAACAACTTGTGCTCACATTTCGTGAATCGACGTCCCTTGCTGATATTGGTGCAATTTCGTGCTCATTATAAGATGGCTGGAAAAAAAAAATAACAGAAGTTAAGCAAAGGAATGCAACTAACAAGAACAAAATTAGATGTCTTAATTTGCACAAGGCTTGGAATGGCAACAACTTTACGTTAAAAGTTAATGTCAGTCCTCCTCGTTCATCCGCTGCTCCCTCACCTATCCTCCTTCGTATTCCATGAATAGTGGAGTAAAAAGATTGGAATCAGGTGTCAGCTATAAGACATTTCATGATGCAGTCAGTCTGTGTTTCATCCCTTAGCTGTATACACAGACTGAACAATGCATGCGGGTAGGAGTGGGAATAGTCAGTACAGCCTCCTACGTGCCATGTATCGAAAAGACATGTAACTAATTTACAAGGATAAGTGAAAGGGGAGAGAAAGTGTAGTAGTATGAAAGTAATAAAAGTAATGGAGCAGATGAAACAGGAAGAGACTAACATATGAGAAATATGAAAGGCGGAAGTAATCCGAAGCAGGGCAAGTGACAACAAGTGCCAACAGTAACGGCTCGCTGAAAACACAGATTTCCCCTTTCACAAGCTTCTTAGAACATTAAGCTTCTTCTTAGACATTAATACTTTATGGCTTGAAAAAAGGATGCAACAAAAAGTAATAATTAAAAGTGAATATAAAAACAGGACTGGAATGATTCGGCTCAATAAATCTTACAAATTTCCATCAGTGCTGCAAATGGGCCTCGTCAATGTAAGGGTGTGACTTCTTGGAATGTCCCAGTACTAAAATATAATCGAAACGAATAAACGAATCGCAGAGAGATTGATCTTCTCATTTGCAGAATCTAGATACCTTTTAAGGAACAGGGCATTTGTCACCGCCCTTTGTATATGTGCAGAGCAATGACCAAACGCTTTGACTGGAAAGCAATAAATCTGGAACCTTAACGTATTTCATTTCTTCAGGGAGCAAAAAGTGCTCATAAATTTGGCATCTTACAGTTAAAGTGATTAGTCACTGCTCTGCACATACCATGCAAATCACAGTTCACCAAATCCGACGACAGGCGAGACTTCCCCTTTTTTAGTGGGAGAAAACAAAACAATTCCAAAGCGTCATTACGTTCCCTACGATTCTACAGTAATCATCAATAACAACCAGAAAATCAGCAAATTTCACGACTTCTCAAACAAAATAAACAGAATCTGCATTCTTAATGCATTCCCCCCCCCCCCCCCCCC